TACAAAACTTTTCTGAACAATAATAAATCGTTCAGTAGTACGAAGAAAAAAAAACAAAAACAAATGTCTTATTTCTGTGATAAATATTCATTAGTATTATTATGTGGTCAGTACTGCCTTATCTGAGAAAAATTTCGTTTTTCTTTGTTCTCACTATTTATGAAGAAAATTCTAAAACTGCAAATTTTAGCCACTACACTTAAACCGTTTATTAATCTATAAGAAATATTACAAATTTATTAAAACATACATCTCGTACTTGACCTATCCATGACAAATAGTCAAATTAATCAAGGTAAAAAAAATCAGATCACACATCAACCTACGAAAGCATCGGCTTAAAATTCAAGCTGAGCAGGTAAAGGCAGAATTGGGCGGAATACCAGAATTTCACTAATGGTCATATAAATAAAGTCCAACCAATTCTCTGATCATATTATGATCGACAGAAACTCAGGGGGTAGATTCAAGGAATTTCTATCCCACTTTCCCTAAAATGCAACCTCTCGAAAGGACTTGCGGATATTTTAAGTACTCCCATGCTAAACATACTCTGTAACTTAAAAACATCCATAGTTTTCCAGGATTGAGTAATTTCTGACTATTTTACAAATCAGGATGATCGCAACAGCTAACGATCGCACAGATGGCTATTTCATTTATGCTATTTAAGGCGTAGGTAATTTGAAAGCGTTATGGTATTCAAAACATTTCGTTCCGTATGTTTTGTTTTATAAACATTACACTTACATCGCGCTATCACTAGAAAACGACGCTTGATCTGTTAGAGAAGAGGCGAAATTGAATTTCGCAAATTCTCGCTCAGAATGCAATTTCTAGTTTTTTCCCCTTTTTATTAACATTTTTAGCCCAGAATGACTATTAATTTCGTTTTGGCATTTTGTGCGTATCGCTGTAAACGGCGTTTCACTTTTCAAATTGTTACCACCAAATATTATCGCCCTCTATTACATTTAAAGAAATTAAATAATGAAGAATCTGAATAAAAGTGTGTATGTTTCTCGCACTATAATAAAACAACGGTACCTAGAGAAATCAAATTTTGAATAACATACATTTCCATCCGAATATCGGCATCTGGAAGCCCAAATTTGGAACTTTTTTAATATCTTTTTCATATTTTGTAAAGCATACATGAGTTTTTGATTAAAAAACTGAACGATTTCAAAGGAAGCAATGGCAACACTGTACGAAAAAAAAAAACATTTTAATCTCCAGCACGCGATACTGTTTATCGGAAATTTGAAAGATTTGCTCTTTTAAAATTATTTTGTGATATTTCTGTTGAATTGAATAAAGTGCGAAAAACGTGATATTTAATAAATAAAGGTAACAAACAAAACGTTAAAAAAACCCCATTGGTTGTAATATAAAATCCCGAAGCATTCAGATTTCTTGTTTTTATGCTTTAATTTTGTCAATTTTCTTTATTTTATTTTGCTGTAGCAACCCATTCACCTTTATGAAGTGTAGTCGATGTTTTTATGAAGTGTAGTCGGAACTGATGTGAAGCCCAGTTTCGGAACTGCTGCCGTAATGTGTAAAGTTTTTTTTATTTAAAGAACTGGCTTCGCGGAGCTTGGAATTCAAAGGTAGATAGTTCAGTTTCAGCGGAAAACTGTATGAATTTTCGGAATGCATCTAACAAATGTATTCATTCAAATGTAAAAAATTAATGTATTCATTAATTTTTTATCGCAGATAATATGCTATGTAAATTTTAATGCACAGTTAGAGATAATATATTTTTATAAAAATGCAATACATAATTATTAAAGTGAATGAGGAATTATTCATTGTAAAAAAAGATTTTTCAATTAAATAATTTGATTGCTAACGTGTAATTGAGACTAAAAAGAATAAGTAAAAAGCCAATTTTTTATAAAATAAGCTTTTATTTAAAATGGATTAAAACTAGAAAAATAATTTATCATATTGTTTAATAGGGACACTGCATTAAGTATTCTCTTTACAAAATTTAGTAAGAAAAGGGACAAAGGCGAACGGGTAGAATTGATAACAATACACAAATACTTGTTTATTACAATGATATTTTAAAGCTAATTTAATGCACTCTGAACATTTTAAAACAACTTAACCAAGTTTGATCTATCAAAACTATTTGTTTGCTTGTATTCCGCTGCTTTGAAATTTTCTGACAGAAATGAATTCAAGTAAATACAGATTACATTTAAAAAAGCAAAAACCATTGGGTATTTGCACTAAATTTTTAAAGATAATAGCCTATACTTTTGTAAATGCAATTCAATTACTAGATTTTACCATTTAGGCGCGCCTAACTACATTATTTATGATATAACATAGTAGATGCCTTGCATAAAGAGAATTACTTAATCTATTGTTTCCATTAAACTATACGATAAATTATTTTTCTATTTTCAAGTCATTAGTCATTTTGTACGTATTAAATAAAACTATTTTTTAAAGCTTTTTTGTTTTCTTATTTACTACGTTTTCGTCACAATTTTTAATAAAAAGCCTTTTTTAACAGTGAATAATCACTCTTTTTATTTCCAACAAATCTGTTATTTTGTCACATTACAGTAAAATATATAATTTCTTATTTTATATTAACATTAATGTTTAGTATCCTAATAAAAAAATCTATTCATATTAGACTAACTGGTATGGCATGGTATCCAGGCACTAACTGGTATCCAGGCAGTTTTATGCCTCCCAGCGTTTGAAATTTAAAGTTCTTTCAGCAAATTTACTTTGTTAGGAGCAGTATATGCTTGACTTTCTGCGAATATTTTTTTCCTCAAGCAAATTCCCATATCTGGCATGTATTCGGTCTGGAGAGTTATGCATGCGTGTCTGATGACTAGCCGTCCAAGAGTCTAATATAAAAAAATGTAAAAATATGAAATCTTTCAGATTTTACATTACGCTCAAAAGAGCCGTTTTTTGACGTTTTGTCTGTTATCTTTCTTTATTAAATATTATGTTCTTCGCACTTAAAATTCAATTCGACAGGAATATCGCAAAATAATTTTAAAATGAGCATGTCTTTATAATTTCCGATACAAAGTGTCGTGCGCTGGAGATAAAAATTTTTCCCCCGTACAGTGTTTGAAATCGTAGAGTGTTTGAAATTGTTTTGAAATCGTTGAGTTTCTTAATCAAATGTTTGTTTAAAGTTTTGCAAAATATGAAATCGATAATAAAACAAATTCCAAATTAGGGCTTCCAGATGCCCGTATTTGGAATACATTATTGAAAATTCGATGTTTCTAGGTACAGTTGTTTTATCACAATACGAGAAACAGAGATACGTTTATATAGATTCTTCATTATTTAATTTCTTTTAATATAATACAGGACAATAACATTCGGTGGCAACAATTTGAAGAGTGAAACCGACATTTAAAGGTTTCGACGCAAAATGCTAAAGCGAAATTAATTCTTCTGTGCTAATGCCCTTTGGGATAAAAATTCTAGAAAATCATCCGATAAATATTCTTTTAACATTCTTAAGAGGATGGTGAATTTGTTTCATAACAGATCATAATTTTAAATCTGTATAACAGATAAAATTTGGGGGTGTTAGAATTTTAAAATACTCCAAAAGAATAGATCATTTATCGAAATAAATTTTGAAAACCCAACTTTAGAGATTAAATGCTCAGAAAATTTAGACGGGAAAATTTACAAATAAAACAGTAGATCTTATTGAAAATAACTGTAAACTTTAGTCAATTTTTAAACACATCTCTTTTACACAGATCTAAAAAGAAAAATAGGATTAATAATATGAATGAATAGTAAATGTAAAATCTCTGTTTAAAAATAGCATTAATAAAGCACTAGAAGCCTTCTATCGCAATTTACAAGTAACTCTTTCCCGCAAGGAAAAAAATAAACAGACAAATAAAATCAGCATGAGAGAATTCCATACAGAAGAAAGAAAAGTAGTACAACATATAATGTAATCATAGCCTCGAAGCACATGTGATGCCCAAGAAAGAAAGAAAATTCTGCCTCTTCTTAAAGCAAAACTGAAAACTATTTTTAAAAATAATCTACATCCCTCAATTAAAATCATTTTAACATTCTTGTTTTAAAAAACGGCGAAGAGTTTGTTTTATAATCTGAGAAAATTTCAATTTTTAATTAATGTAAAGATCAAATCAAATAAAATACAATGTATTTTCCATGTATTTAATTATTGCTTATAATTACATTTTAGTAGACCGAAAGCTATCGAATGATTTGTAAATCTTTTTTAATTCGTATAAAAATCGACCCAGAACTTCAGTCGTCATAATTTTTTTTAAAACTAAACGGCTTACATTTTGAGACTAAGAACTTCAAATCTAACGCCTTCTTTAATTCGTTGATTATCGCGATATTTAAATAAAAATGTAACACTGGTAAATTTTAACCCTGCTGCGTATTTTCCAAAATAAAAGAAATCTTAGTTAAACATTTTGTAAAATACGCATAAGTGTTTATCAATGCTATTATTCTTATTTCAAATATAAACATTTATTATTGCTTACAAATGCCAATATTCTTATTTCGAATATAAAGAATTATTATTGCCTACAAAGCAAGTAATTCGATTCTGTCCGTTCTCAAATATTTGAGAGCATTTGCTTTTGGAGTGGCAATATAATTTATTTATGTCATACGAAATATTAAAATTTCAACTAAACATTTTCATTTGAAATAAAAAAGCATTTTTCACGTTCCAAAATGAATTTATAATTAATCGGTTAGAAGAGATTACTGCAGCACTTGTAAGTTTAATGTGAAGTACTAACGGAAGTTGTTCGATTAAGGAAATATTTAAAGTTACCATGATACTATATACCTACATGATAGTGTCATATAATAGCTTTAAACAGAAATCACTTTTGTAATATTAAGTTTATAATACACGGTATTTATCTCTTTGAAAAATATATTTAACTTTCAGAAAAATCAAACTATGTAGTTAATATGAAGGTACTTACTATGATATAATCGGTTCTAGAACTTGGCGATAAAACGTAAACTTTTGGCGGCTTTTGCTTGCAATGCAAGCATCCTTCCGCCGCCAAAGCAACAGCGGCCGTCCATATGGCCAGGCACATCAGCGGTATCCTATTTGTGAAATCACACCACGTGATCATCACGTCACCAAAAGGAATGGCAACATGGATGTCGCTATAAAGAGAAAATAAAAAGCACTTAGTGCACAACAAGTAACATTTAAAGCAACTATTAAATACAGTCAAGTCGCCATTAATAGACTTTATCGGGCGCTGCCCATTAATGATCAGTTCTTGAATCCCCGAACCATTGAAGCAAAAGAACAATGTACTTCTAGTTGACGGATCCTCCCTGGTAATATAAGAAAATCTTGGTTTCCCTAAGCGTGCTAATGGAGAGGGATTCAATTGTATTTATCTTGTTTATTTACAAACATTAAATGTTTGTTTGTTTTATGTGATGTGATATGTGAAAGAAATAAATACTAGTTTAACTTAAATTAATAGAAATGCGTTTAGTTAGCATGGATAGCACGTAAAATGCATATTTACAAAAAAAGTTAATTGATTTGTTTTTATTGAAAGAAGAAATTAATGATTTGCAGAATAATAGTGTCCGTTTCGTCTAATAATGTTTATACATTTGTTATTAAAATAAACAGAAATTTTGATTTTCTAAAGCAAATGTACTAACACAGAACGACATTTAATGCACATATATCCACTTCATCCTCTACGTAGAGAAATATTTTTTTATTAGATTGATGTCGGTAAGAAAAAAAGCGATTATATGTACTTGAAAAGAATGTGAAAGAATTTATTATTTACAAGGCGAAAATTATTTCAATTATTATTCTGTGTCAATGCTGCCAAACCATTTAACTTAATGTAAAATAAAAAGCAATAACGCCATCTATCGAGTAAATTGAAGTAATTATGAGAAACAGCAAGCATTTTAATTCATGAGATAGAGCTTTTAGTGTTTCTGAGAGGTTTCACCAGGACTTAATTCTGTTAACTCAAATTGTCAGATTTTGATGAATATGGAAAGTTTCAAGGACATATAATTCACAAATTGAAGCTTTTCCGAAAATTTTAATGGAAGAAAATTTTTTTTTAAATGATCCCCAAATTGATAGGATTAACAATAAAAGGTTTTTACGAAATCATACAAAATCAGCTATAAGCTGCTTTTAGCTTCAGTCGGAGCTCATGACTGATTTTTGCACAGTTTGGTGTTTAACATTGCCATTGCATCTTTTATAGGTTTCGCAAAGTAAATTTATAAAAATTCACATAGTTTTACTAACCAGTTATTTTATGTTAAAGTGCTTTGCTGTCTTTCTCGTTTACTATTTTTCTACCAAAATGTAAATTTCTAGCTCGTGCGTATTCAAATGAGGTAGTAAGGAGATAGTATTTAAAGGAAGATTTTATAGGGTAGAATCAGATCGTGTTGAGCCTGCTGAAGGCCACGTTTACTAATTGTTCCTCGTTCTTTGTCTGTGTAATCGTTGGTCTGACATTTACTTAGTCAAATTTATTATTTTTGATTTACGCCATAAATGCTGGCTATTCTGTAAACACGAGTAGTGCCATCTGTTAACTTTTACCTGAGTTCAATAAAATGGTCTTTTACACCCTTTCTCACTCTCTGTGGTACTTTACAAGACATAATGATATTTCACTGTAGTTTTTGAGGTTCTAGTCTATGCTACCAAAGAAAACGAGTCTCTACAAATTTCTTCGTCTCTGTGTACAATTCATGTTCCTGAAGATAAACTTAATGGAAGCACATTGGAAATGGGCATAGAATTGAACCATTCTAGAAATCAAGTTTCGATATCTTCGCACTTAGCACTGCGAAATAGCTACTTAGAGTTAATGTGAGTTTACTAAGCTACTTAGTTTAGCTGTCGCTTCCAAAGTTGCCAGAGTGCCATCTACAGGTTTGTCAAACAGTGCAGCTAGAAATCTTGGAGAATACGGATATGTTGGCGCACGTTGAAAATTTATTTGTAAATAAACTACAGTCGAGTTAATATATATAGATATTTTATTGTAAATGCAATTCATCTAAATTTCAACTGAAATTTTTCATTTAGTATACCGTGCCTTAGTGAGTTTTAGGAAAAAGAGTAAATTGCCCTGATGACCACTGGAAGAAGAAGACAGGTAAGTAAATTTTTCTGATTAATTCAGAATTGTTCAAGATTTAACATTAGTTGTACCTGATAACTTTAAAAGAATAAACAAGTAATATAAAAATTCTTTTTAAATTCCTACTTCGGTTAACAAAGAAAAATTTTATTTTAGTTACTTTTTATTAATATTATTAACATTTTTTCGTTTCTAATTTATGAAGCTGATGGTTGTTTATAATTTCTCATTCTATCCATCTTTTGTAATGCTTCATTATTGCAAGGAACCTTTCCAGTGAGTTTTCGAGCACTCCAGTTCCTCAATTAATATTCCATCTAAAGATTTCGCACAAATCATGACGACATATGCTTAACCTGCTGCGAAAAGGTTTTGTCCTAGATATATTATTATCACGTTGACATAGAAATATGGGGGGAATTCTTGCTACATAAAGGGACATTGCATCCGCTTCATCCAACTCTATAAAACTACAACTCCTTAATTCCATATACTTTAAAAATCTTTAGAACTCTGTTTTACTGTTGCCACTTAATTATGTTAAATATTACAATCCCATTTATCACAGTCACGTACTATTATTTATAAGTTGTTATAAAATTAATTTTTACAGCACGTGAGAATTCCTAATAATAAACGGTCATTATTTGAAAGTCTTCTCTACATATAATAAAAGAAAGTCTTTCGTTTGTGCTGCGCGTAAACTAATAGACCCAATACTACGAAATTAGATATATAGATGTATCTAGACAAGAGTCAGTGCATCTCGAAGCGAGTTTTTCAAAATTCGAATAAGATTTTTTTAAAATTTTAACTTTCCGATTTCATCGCATCATTTTGAATAGTTTCATTCTTTTAGAAATGTAGTTTTAGCAACAGTTGTTCATTCAATTGTATATTAGACTGCTGATTGTTGGAAACCAGCACTGTTGCCACTTGGAAAAATGAGGGCGACAATTCTGTGCAGTTTTTAAATTTAATGTTTCTTATGGATACTAGATGTTTGTGAAAGAGATGGCAATGGGAAGTTCGTTAATTTATTTTTTAGGATAATTAATATTTGTATTAAGAGATATTGCTTATTTCATTGTAATGTTTTTAAATGTAATAAATTTTTTTTTGATGAAATTGTTTTGCAGAGTAAAATTCTGGGCAGTTTTTAAATTTAACGTTTGGTGTTTCCTTCAGGCATTTTTCCGGTACATTTAGAAGCCAGGCGAAGGCTGGCAGCATAACTGCTAGTATAATATATTTAAAAAAAACAGCATATCTTTAGTTTTGATAAACACGAATAAATAAGTAGGAATTAACTTTAATATGTGAAAACACACAAATCTCTATAGCGCAATGGTTGACGCACTGTTCGATTGGGCCTTTTAAGTTCGTCGTCAACCTCGTCATTATCGTAATCTTCTGTATTTCTGGAAATGACAGCCTTCGAAGATTTGTTTTTAGCAAGTGAATCAGCTTGGTGGGGCTTTCGACAACCCATTTTTGAACTGTAAGGTGGACAAGATCTAGAACCTTGACCGCGTGGCTTCTGTTCTTCGTCATTTCAGTATCCTTACTAGTTGCTTCTCCTTCCATTCTACTTTGACTGCATTCAGTGTCATTCCTATGATAGTGGGTTTTGCTTTCAAAGCACTTTTGATAAAATCGTCAAGGAGTCCAGTGATTGTCTCTTTCACCTCCTGAAACTCTTTCTTCGTTTTTTCTTTCATTTTGTTCATCTTCACTTCCATCACGTCCAACGTTTCGTGGAAGTCCTATGGATAGATAACTACAATATTGCTTGAAGTAAGGATGACGTAATTGCCTTCGTATGGGCCTTTGAGGTTGTAGTTGTTGCTTATCATCCACATTCTCTTGGCTCTGACTACCATCACTTTCGTCATTCTGTAATTACCTTTTAATTAATTGGACCGCGGACATGGTATGAAATGGTGTTTAGAAAACAGTTGGCCACAGTGTCGATTTCTATTTGCAGCATAAGGACTATTTTTTACCGAAGTGCGATTCAGTCCAATCAGATTTGCAGCTTCATTCCCCTTCTCTCGAACAACTTCAAATGCACCTAATTCACCATCTCTTACACTTCGAACAACACTTTTTGTATTGTTTTTCTTTACTGCAGTTTGATGAACGAATATATCTTCTTTAGGGTCCATTTTTATGAGATCAGTGCACCCGAGTTCTGAAATATTCAGTGCGAAGCAATCTCTGTATTCATTCGAAAACGCAATAACTCTTGCTGGTGATCAACGTCGAGATCCGAGCCAATTTTAACTTGGCTTAAATTATAGGAACTTTTATTTTATGTTGTTAATATTTTTTTTTTTTGCTGCTAAGTTCGAGCTCAATTCAGAAATTTCAGTATTTAAACATAGTTCAACTTCTGCTCTCCCAACGCATTGATCTTTTTGGAGCTTAACACTTCTATCGCCAACGTTAATCACTGGTATACAAGTTTCGCCATTTTTAATTTCTAATAAACAGCCGATACCTTCGGAAGGATTTTCTATCATAATTAATCCATTATCTACAGAATCTGTTTGAGAACTGACAAGACTGATCGTATTTTTCTCTAATTCATTTTCCTCAAGAGCTTTAAGGCAGACTCGATTTATTTTTCATCAATTTGGAGGTTACTAAATAGTTCATCTTCCCTATACCCGAAGTGAAATCTTTTTCCTATTCTGACATAAGCGATGTGAGGGAGATCAAGCCATGTCCGTCCGATGATTAGATCAACTGGCTGTGCATTATCAGGAACAAGGTATATATTTATGCCTTGGCCTTTTACATTATCAACTTCAATATCGGCTTTAATCATTCCTATAGAGGTCACTGCAGGCACCCTTTGATTTCCAAAACCATACAATTCATTCACAGCAGGTTTGGGTTTCACTTTAAGTTTCTCAGCAACCTGAAGTCCTAAAGAGACAACAAGAGCTCCCCCTATCAATTAAAGCCTGTACTTCTTCAGAATTATTCAGTTTTGCTTTCTTCAAATATATGAATTGCTCTCTTCTAATTTTCGCCAACTTGCTCAACAGAATAATTTTTATCATTTGAATGATTATTTTCAGCTTTAGTAACACAATTTTTAGCTTTATGACCTGTTTTATTACATTTTCGGCATTATGTTACTACTGGTTTGGGCAGCGGACAGTCCCTTGAGATGTGTCCAAAATTATTACAGCTGAAGCATTTTGGTTCACCTTTTTCATTATGTGTGATACCGTAGAGTTTTTTCTTTTCGTTGATTGTAGCAACTGGACCATCTTTAAAGGAGTTTCGTTTGTCGTAAGACCCTTCTTTACGCGGTTGTTTATTGTTGAAAGTTGACTTCAAGGTATCATAATCATCTAGTTTTTCAACTAAATCAATTGGTGAAATCAACTCAGACCATATGTCAATAAAATGATCTTTTACTTCTGGAGACACTTTACGTTTTATCTGATCCGCTACAATAAGGTCGCTAAGTTTCTCAAAAGTATCTACTTTAATTCCGCTTATCCATTCATTAAAAAAAATTTCTTAACTCATACGCAAAATTCTTCCATGTGTTTCCTACACTCTTATTGTGCGTAAAAAATTTTTGGCGAAATTTTTCAGGTGTCATCTTGTACCGTTTTAATAAGATCCTTTTAACTTCTTTATAATCGTTTGCAATCTCATCGGTTTCTCTGGCGATTAACTGAGCAATATCATACGGCAATAAGCCAAACAAATGAGTAACCCATGTATTTTCTGGTATTTCAACTTGTTTAGCCAAACGTTCAAAAGTTCAAACATGATTAAATATAAACTGATATCATTCTCGTCAGGTTAAAATTTTTGCATCAAACGATGAAGCTCTAACATTGGATTCATTTGTGCACCACTAGCATTTTCATTGGTGCCAGAATTTTCAGATCTACATTCTGCTTCAATGCGTAGTTTTTGCAGTTCAAATTCCATTTCATACTTTCGTTTTCGTTCCTCATATTTTTCTCTTCGCCTACGTTCATCATCTTGACGTTTTCGTTCTTCAATTTCTTCTTTTCGCTTACGTTCTTCAATTTCTTCTTTTCGCCTACGTTCTTCAATTTCTTCTTGACGTTTTCGTTCTACAATTTCTTCTTTTTCTTTCATTTATTACAATGTTTAACCATTCTTTGGCGCATTCTTCATCGTACTCTTTGCTAGCCAAAATTATCTTTTTTAAATCGCTCATTTTATGACTCTCATTTACATCTTCTCCCAATTCTTCAGCTAATATTCTTAAATCGCATTTCTTTGCCTTACCGAAAATAGACATTTTCGTACTCATTAAAATGCAAATATATATATATATATATATTAAATGTAGAATTTTACATTATTTTTGTGCAGCGGGGCAACAGGAATGAGACAAATTTTGGAATAAAGTGTAGGTTTATTTTAGCATCCATTCAAGCGTTCCCTGTACCTTGAGCAAAGCCCTATTATACATATGTGTGCGTCACGGGCTCATCCAATTAGCGATATTAATTGAAATCACAAGGTGACGCTATCTTCTCATCAGGAGTGTTCTTAAGGGCTTTATGTAATATGACAGATTTATGAGTTTGGCGATTTGGCGGGCGCCAACAGGTTAATATATTTTATACTAAGAAAGGATTTCGCCAAAATTTAGGAAACAGGGATGCAATTTAGGTAGAGAATCGCCAACACATTATTAAGCAATATTAATAGAATTTAATTTAATCAATTGCTTTAAAAATATCATTACAGATTATCCCCCCCATCTGAAAAGGCTTGCAGTCGCGGCCGTCGACACAAGACAGTCCAGATAGTGAAAGCAGAAAATTTAGTTATTAGGAAATTAAGTGAGTAGGAAAACTGATTGGATTTACCTCACAAAATGTTATATAAAATATGACATAAAATATTTGAATATACATAAAATATTTGAATTTTAATACGGTATATAAATATAATGAATGATTAATGAAATTATTAATACAGTATAAAATATAATAAATGATTAATGAAATATAATCTAGTAACTAAATAATAAATGATTAATGAATTATTAATACAGTATAAACTATAATAAATGATTAATGAAATTATTATATAGTAACTAAGTGCAAGAAAAAATATAAAGCACTAATAACATATTGCTGGTTAGCCTACGCGGCAATAGGAGATAGTAACATAACTGAAAATTTGTAAGTTTATATCTTACGGGCATGCCATTCACAGTTTGTGTATGAGTCCGTACAATCATTAGAGTTGTCATTCAGGCTCATCTTCAGGTCTTTTACTGGTCTTTGGAGATCTCCGGATCATTTAAGTTAGCGCTAGAAATTATTGGATTGAGCATTGTCACTGAAAACATTTGGAGTTTTTATGTCACGGATACTAGAGCTCTTATACTCTTGTTGAAAATACACATTTTGCTAGGTTTTTTAACATTTTTTGTCACTCGCTATTTTATCTTATGATAACAAAACATAATCTAATGATAACAAAACAAAATTTAACTTCCAACGTCCATACCAGTTTTTTGTACACGATGCTGCAGAAACAAAACATAAAATGAAATTCAGAAATTTCAACAACTGAAATTTAACTTTTTCAACTGTTGTTACAATTTATAACACAAACATAGGAAAACATGAGCTCAAGGAAATGTGAAAGCTATAGTACTCTACTTGTAGTATAGCCTCAATTGAGTGTTTTCCCACATGAGAAAGTGCATTGAACCTGAAACTCAAGTTTGAAGGAGCCCAGTAAGTAAAGGAAAAGGGCACAGACAAGGGTTTTCAGGACACTGAGAGAATAAGTCAACTATTCAATTATTGGGACAATGACAGGATAAAAACTATAAAAGAAGGATTATGGATAGTTTATTGATTTTATAAATTTTGATTTATTCATGATGTAATTTAAAGTTCTCGGGTGGGTAATAGAACCTTAATTTTGACGCATGTACAATCTCAGTTGGTTTCTTCGTGTGAAAATTTTCCCTGTCGATTTCATAATTAACTTCAGATAATTTATTCATAATCTGATAAGGGCCTCTGAATAGGGTGAAGTCAATTTTCTAGTATTTGGGTATTCGAATTCTTCGTAAAGGACAACTAAGTCTCCAGGTTGAAATTTAGATTCTACAAATCTGGTGTCATATCTAAGTTTTATTCTTTCAGTGGTATTCGAATAGTTCTTTTCTTTGCTAAAGCCCTTGCTTCATTTAAGGAAGGGTATGTGTTTTTGATCAATTGGAGATTCAAAAGGGAGGTTACCAAATAGTAAGTAGCTGGTGGTGAACTTAGTTACCGTATGAGGGGAGTTGTTATATTCAATAACAAACTTGCTCTAGCACTTTAGTCCATGGGACGTTTTTAGAAGAAGAATTTACTTAGTATAATTTTAGTTGACTTACTATTCATTGATTTACTCTTTCTACTTTACCATTTGTCTGGGGATGATGAGATGAAGTTAAAAGTTGTTTAACATTATGCTTTTTAAGAAATGCTTTTGAATCTAGAGGAAGTGAAGGCTGTCATTCCTGTCACTCAGAATTTTTTCTGGGGACTATTTGAAATATTTGTTTTAGACAACTTGGCATAGGTTTCTGAAGTTACACTTTTAGAGGGAAAAGCCCAGACATATCTTGTTGCATGGTCAATAACTATATGTAAATATTTTTTTTGTAGTATATAAATAATTAAATCCTCCCACAGTGTCATAGAGAGACATTCGAAAGGTTTGTCGGTTGGGGTACGTCTTGCATAAGACCAAATTTTTCTGTTTTTTTCTTTTTATTAAGTTGACAAGTATGACAATGTTTAACAAAAGTTTCCGATATCTTCGCTAATATGAGGCCAATAATATTGAGGGGTGGGGGTGATTAAGTTAAGCATAATTTGAACTCCCGGATGACCAAAATTTTCATGGGTTTTACTTCAACAATTTTAATCTTAGAGATTTAGGTACTACAATTTTATAAAAATTGTTTTTCTTAATTATCATCATATCATTTATTTCTTGGTAATTTTTTCCCGCAGACATTATCAGTTTTTGCTGTTGGATCATTTCATTTCTATCAAGTAAATGTACACAATGTTGGAGGTACTGTGAAACAGGATGTCTAGAAAGCATGTCAATTTCAATATTTGTAGAGCCCTTCTGAAAG